CTCGATCATAAATAATTTGATTTTTGTATCAGTAACCCACTGATTATTTAAATTGCCAATTCATTGAAGATGACCACATTAAAGATCAAAACGTTTGAAAATATTTTATATTATTAACGTTATTATTTTATTAGCGAATGACATTTAACTTGGCTCGAATAACCTGTTACGGTGATTTATTTGAATTTTATATTCATTAGAGCCTTGCATTAAATTTCACTATCTATTAATTTGTTAAATTGCTAAGATTATACATTAAAATTTAATATAATTTTAATATAATTTCTATACTTCGCTTCATTCGCAGAATTGCATGATGTAATTCACGTCAATTTGTAATTAATTCAAAGAGAAGAATATTAAAGCTGTGTCTCGATTTATTCATCAATCACTAATTGCAAAATTAAATATAAATGATGGCTCAAATTAAATATCGAATAAACGTTTTCTTTGTGCTATCAGAAGTAATTTTCACTAAACATGAAAAATAAAATTGTTATATTGTTCCCGACTAGAACACGTGTTATACACAGTTATATCACATTTACTCTGACATATTTTCGTGAGACCGAGAGTGACAATCGTTGCATTCATGGAGGAGCGAATTAAAACTCGCTACAGCTCGTTAATCCAGTTACACGCCGTAATAGTGTACGCGGAAGCAGCGAACAAAAACGTTATTCAATACCGGTCTAAAAAGAGAAAATATAATCATAGTTTGAGCTCGCACCGTGACGGTCGATGATTCCTTCGCACAAACATTTTCACGGCGAAGTTGCTATAAAATGTCAATATTCGTGCAAGTGCAAGGTCGACCGTAAAATATCTGCACAATTTTTAAGTATTAAAAAAATATATAATGATCTGTATTTATATTCTTTACATTTTTCTATTAATAACGTTTAGGCAATAAAAAATGTTTGCATTAGGCGTTTATTTCTATTCGTATTCTACAATTCGATAATAATAATTAGCTCGTATTAACACTTCCGTATTAACACTTCTAATAATAACTAATCTTCATCATCATCGGACTATTTTGCGTGATAGATCATAGCATGTTAAACCGTAACACTACATCACTCCGCACGTTAAACCGTATACTACACATAAGATTATATATAGACCTTCACTTTCGCTAGATGAGTTGTATACAGAGTATCCAATAATTAAACGCAATATTTTAGCAACGTATTCTAAAGATCAATAGAATCGAAAAAATCATAATATAAAAATATCACAATAGTTTCCAAGTTACAAATAATAAAGGATTTGTTAATGGTATAAAAAAAATATAAATTATTTTTTATTATTATTTCCAATTATTAGAAATAAAAAGCATTTTTTATGTTATGCAATGGTCTCCTAAATTAATATTTTTCATTCAGTACTATTTTATTATATAAATCACAAATATGTGTCAGTAAGAATTAATTAAAGCTATGACCTCAATTCTATAAGCTCTGGTGCATTCTCGAACACACAATAAATTGATAAACAAAGATATTTCGATATAGGTATATATACTGCCAGAACATCTATAGGTAACGATAGTACAGATTTTCAGTACTAACAGTGTCAGTATATTGGAACAAAATATAAAATATTTTAAAACTAAGTATTTATTCCAATTTTTTGTCCATACATTCATTTAATTTCAAAGTAACAGAGCTATAAAATGTCCGATATTTATCTATATATTTTTGTCTTGTGAATCTTAATACATATCCCTGGCTAAAAAGTGGCACATATACGTTGTTCAGCAATATACAAATGTAGAATTTTCAAATTATATAACAGCGCCCTAAATAGTTAATAATTTTAATTTTAAAGAATAATTACGTCAACTATTATATTTAGAAATATCATGAATTGCTTTTCTATCATCAAATACCTTTCCAAAATACCTATCTTTTCCAAATGCCTTTCCCGAATACGTTTTCCAAATACCTTTTTCTTCTATCATCAAATACCTTTCAAGTCGTCAGATTCATTGCACTCACATTACTTGTAAAAATGCGGTTGTTGCAATTGCTAATTATTCAATATAATAAGGAATACAATAATTCGCGCACAATTTCCAATGTTAATTAACACGCAACTAACGTTTGATTACGTAACGATGAAAAACTAATGTGAGAAAAGTACAATAAAAGTTACAACCCGTTCCAAATCTACAATATCTTGCATATTTACACACTGAATGAATCACCGGAGTGTTTTAACAAATCAGCGATATACGCAGAAATGGCAACTTAAATTCAATCTGCGCGATAAATAAAGTCGAGTTGATAGCCAATTAAACAATGTTCGAAAATGTGTAATCAAAATTTAATATTGCGATACATTTTGCCTGCAAAAATATACAGGTTATTATTAACAAACGGGATCGATACATCACGATTTTCCCTTACTTCAATCGTTCGATTTATAACCGCTTCCGTATCACTCTGCACTCCCAATTTAAAAAATAGTGGATAAATTACATTTGAATTGACAGAAAAATTGGAATCGGTGGAAACATTCGCGAGTATATACAGACAATAACACTATCGTGTAACAATAATTCCTATCCGTTCCACCGTTTAGATCTCTATTTCAAAAGGACAAATCGCACGGATTACCTGCCTCGACAAGTCGCTTTCGTACGTTTGCAAATTACGAATTGTAGAAGCTAATTGCGTGAATTAGTAATTGAAGATAATTGTTTACGCGGAAGATAATCGTGTTCTCTCATGGTATATTTGTGGGATAATTTGTCGATGTAGCGTACCAAAGGACGATATCACAACGCATGAAATCAGCTGCTCGAGTCTGCGAATGACAACATGATTGCATTCAGATGACCTACACGCTTAAGCTCGCCGCGAGTTACACGACACAAGAAAACACAATACTTTTGCAACTTACAACGTTTGCCGTACATTAAAACTCAATTATATCATTACTACAAAATATTTAACGTACTACGAATTAAACATACGTAGAATATCCAGTTTGTTTACGTTACAGATTAATTTCGATAAATGGCATTATGTATTAGAGTATATTTCGTGATAGAGTATATCACGCGTCGTTTCATCCTCGCCTAATATAAGTAATGATTAATTCCGCTCGAATATTTTAAAAGCTTAATCAGAGATACATAGTATTTAAAAAAATTCTTATTCGCAACAAATATACTACAAATAGTAATGCATATCTATAATTGTAAAATTTTATTCTGAAATATGACAAATTATATCGTCAAAAGTGAACTTTACATACAAATTATTTAATCCTTTCTTTTCAATAAACGCGAAAATAATTAACTAATTATTATATATATATGTATATATTAAAAAAATTATTAATTATACTCTTTTATATATAAAAATACAATATATTAAAAAATTATATTAAATAATTAGAATATAAACATGAAAAAAACCAACTCCGCATTAGTTGATTGGCAGGCACAATATTTTTGTAGAAAAAAATAAAAGATAAAATCAACAAGGTAAATTGCGCAGCAAATACCAATAATTGTGTAAAAATTGATAGTAGCTTGTAAATAGCCAGGCAAATATGCATAAATTATAGGTTTAAGCTACATTGAGGTCGCTATCAGTCAATTAACTGAAAAACTAGGGTGACCTCAGTATTTTCATACCAATTAATTTTAATTCATCTTCATAATTTGCCATTATAATTATAAATAAGGTAGTACGGTAATTGCGGGACACCCTGTAGGTACACATGCATGCATACACAACAAGAATCGAATTGGCGTGATCCTTGGCATCCGTAACACGTGAACGCGCTAATAATAGATTCCTATTCACTTATGTCGCAGGATAATTCAACATCGCGTGGAAACGTATTCATGCACTTGTGAGAGCAGGAAAAGCATTTTACTCAGATAAGTATACGTTAAGTGGTGATCATAAGAAAATCACGTGTGTGATACGCGGCTGATTTCACCAGCATCGGTCAACTTTAGTCCCAGTTTAACTGTGATCTCCCATCTCTTTTTAATTCTATCTCTCACCGAAACCGGTCATCAATTTTGTAATAATACGTACGAAGCCAAAAGTTGCGTCATTCGGTCGTGTTTTTTGTGCATTCATGGCCGCCTAATCGATGAACCAAATCGGTTCATAAAAGAATCATGCAGCTCTTCGTAAATAATGATAAAATAATAATGAAACAATAGCCGCCACGAACAAAACTACCTTAATTAATTAAAAGGTAAACTAATAGTAATATTATATATAATATAATATATGAATATTATGATTACTCACACTCAACAATATAAACATAATATAAAACGTGATGTACACAATAGTTACATTATCGGGTAGGAAATTATATTATATAATATTGATGTGTGTAATATTAACTGTTCAGCAAGTATCGACATATGTATTCGTCCTTTTTTTTTTAAATGTCACATATATGTATGTAAATCATGCTTCGTTCGTTGATCAAAAATTTTATAAACCGTTGTAAAAGATTTGCGCATATATAAATATTTTAAAATATATTACATTTTACAGCAAATACCACGGTTTAATAAAAATAAATTGCAAGTAAAGAATTCAAAGAATTCTGCTGATATTCACGCAAAATTCATGGAAATATTCTAAAGGCGTCTACGATTCTCCAACACAGAGACCTGTCCTGCTTGGAGCAATCATCCGAGCTCAATTCGGCGCGAGAAGCTGAACCGAGCGTTTAAAGCGCGATGCGAACGGCATACTCGCGTGCGTGCACAAGCGCTCACTTTCGCTGGACACGCTCGTACTTCTACATACGCACGTGCACGCGCGTGCAAAGCAGGAGCGGCGGAGAGTCGTGTAGCAGTAAACGCTACCAACGCTACGACGCTTTTTCATCTTGTCAGTCAGCCGTCCTGTTCTCACAAGAGCGGATCGATCGATCCTCTTTTTCCGCTTTTTCCGCTTTTTCCGCTTTTTCCGCGGCGATCTTATCTACGAAGCTGTCGCACGTGAACGATGAAGTGCCGCGTAACGAGACAAGTCCCGACGATGATGCGTATCGCCCTTGTCGTAGCGGTGGTGCATGCATCGCCGGCCGAGCCCTTGCCCTCCAGCCTGCTCGGTGGAATTGGTAACGTCGCAAATACCGCAACCAATTTCCGTAAGTCAACCTCGCGGTGTCAATTTCCTAACATCGCCAAGTTTTATTTGTTTTTAGAATATTTTATATACCCTTACATAGAAATATTAACAAGTTTAGAAGGTAAAGATTTTAAAAATTAATAATCGGTATTTTAATTTTTATACCTTTAGGCATATAGCAAAGATTTATAAATAAGTTATAACAATTGAGATAGAATCAATATTATAAAAATTAATTATATTATATATAAGCTGCTTCCGATAACGAGGGAAGATTGTACTTTAAACTTATAATTTATTCTAAACTTCTGCTTGTAATAGATTAACTCATTTCTGCACGATCGTATACTTTGTAAAGTATTTAAATAAAATTTAACATTAATTAATGTATACCTTAATTAATATGAGTATGATTTATAATACTATTAATAATTAATGTTAGTGTAATAAATATAATTATTTTAACTATATACTAAGCGATTTTATATAACTATGAAATAACATAGAAGTTATTTATATGATGGATTTGATGTAACAACTAGAAAATTTTGTAGCGTTTAATTTCGAATTTCATCAAGTTTCGTCAAGTAATTGAACATCTTTGTGATTTTATGTCGCGCGTAAGTTAAATTGATTAGGCTAACGTAAGATGTAATAGGGATTACTTATTTACTTTGATGATGAGAGAAATCGTTTTGATGGTTTCGTAAGTATCAAAGCGATGTCGATTCGCTTTACTTAATCATACCAATCGAAAACCAATTAGTTCGAAATTGAATTTATTCAAAGGAATTTAAATATTATGACTTAGTGACTGAAATTACGAACGTTAGACAAGTAGAGCAATAAATAATTTTGGGGAATTAGGAATCTAGATGTCATAATAAATAACGGTACTTGAATAGAAAAGCACTGTATCGTCAGCGTTCAATGAAAGTGAAACGTAAATATTGTACAATGATACAACGGTATCAATTAAGGATGAAGCGATGGATGGAAAGTTTAAGTAGGCAGATGTTAGATAACGATATTAGAGAGCTTTGAAAAGGCCTTTTCTCGCCAATGCAACGGTTGAAAGTATTTGATTGATGGAAGTAAAACATGAAGTCCTTAAATCGTTATATCGTTTAAATAATTCTTGAATCGGAGTCACGTAAGCCGCAAAAGTTTTCTAAACATCGCGGTTGATTTACCACTAACTTGCATAAATAACTCATTAATGCGAATAAATTTATTTGTAGTGTGCACTGACCTAAATTTTTAATCGGATGTAAAATAGGTTATACAAATAGATTGCAGCTTTACATTATCCCACTTCGATAGACCTCTTAGATAACAATTTATGCACATCGTCTAATATGAAATGATAAATGTGGTTGTACTGGCGTGTTTTTCTTTTTTTTTTTTACAAAAATGCAAATTGCATTAATAAATGTTTGAAAGAAGAACGATATGACAAAGGCATTCGCGATAACTGTATATTATTTTAATGTAAATGTCCGAGATGACATTACGATATTATATAATTACTTGGAAATATAGCCGTAGTTCAAACGTATATAAACTGTTTCTTTTCAAACTGTCGTCGTGTCGGATTCATGACAGAGAGCATAACTTATAATAATTAAAATACGTTATTAATACGTTATAAATTATTTTTATAAATGTGTGCAAATATATCTAACAGAAGCACACTGTCTCGTGTGAGAAATCTATCATTCTCCAACATTCCAGTTTCAAGTAAAAGAAATTCTATTGATTAATTCAAAATAAAAAAGAATTTTTTTTTCTTTTCAAGAACTCAATTATTATTTCGCGAAAGATATAAATAAAATTCTGATTGAATTGGCAATAAAGACTATCAAAGAATTAAAAAATCGTTGTTTTGTCACGAACTACTAGCGTTAAAAAACGCATTAGCATGCTTATACGCAGAAACAATGATGATTCAGATTTGTTAAACAGAATGTTTCACACGCATACGGAATAAAAATATCCGCTAATAACGTGAGATTGCTACGTATAAGACAGATGAAAGATGCTTTTTATTCATTAGCATCAGCATTAGTCACATCCGTATTTACCATTTTGCACACCATACTGAATTCACAACGACATAGAAATTACGCGAGCACGTTGTTAAAAAACAAGTTTTTGTTATGTATATGATTTTTTTGACATTTTCACAAAACTTACATTAATCTGCATTAATTTTCATGAAAATGTTAAAAAAACATCATATAATGGCATAAAATAATAATAATAATAATAACAAACTTGTATTTTTTTTAATACTTAATTAAAAGTAATTTTTGATTATTAAAAGTAATAATTATTTAATATAAGCGACGTATTATTTAATGTTTGTTGAAGGTATATAAAGTAGGAAAACTGTGTATGTTGCGTGTTTCAATTTGATCTTGAGTTAAATTGATCACGAAGTGTCTGACGTCAATTAAAATATTTTATTTTACCATCAACATGTATTATTTACATAATAATGTTTTGCGTGATAAAAAAATAATAACTATAAAATTATTATCGCTATAGCAACGTTCTATTGCGTCATTACTATAAAAAGTGAAACTGAAACGCGAGATTTTTATACGCAGTGCTAATACGATGACCGAAGCTCATCTGAGCATAGCAAATCAAACAAATTGTAACTGGTGTTAAATTGCTAAAAAAAAACCATAAAACTCTTTACGTTTCACCAGACCAGACGAATGCGATCCAGAACGGCGAAAGCGCAATCATTTTTTTTATTTATTTCGATGACTACTTTTTATCCAACCTTTTTCACGTAATTCACTAATGTAAGTTACAGTAAATGCATGTAAGAGCCCCTTTGATGTTACAATAGAACGAAACACTGTCTGAAATTCGATTAATTATTTAATTATCATACCAGAACCGAGATACGAGCATTGAACATTCTCGATCAGCACGCCGATTGCCGCGCTAAAATTCCTTTGCTGTTATACCTATAGTAAAACAAAATCCTTGTTTAAAATTCCTTTAATCATTTAATTACTATATCACAACCGCCGGATACATTTAACTGATTTCAGTCAGAAGGCCCGATTCTCGGATTCGTGATAATCGATCTTCCCATCCACAATCAGCGCGCCGCCAATAAACGGTTTAATTAACGTGAGAATAAAGGCGCCTTGAAGGTTGATTACCAAACGTGCACAAAACTGGCGAACATCCTTTATGTTGCATGATATGCATTAATATCAAAGTATAAAAGCATTCATGTGGTCTAGAATATGTAATCTATTTTTGGATGAATGAAATGAATATAAAAAAAAAGTGTGATCACGAGAAATATGGAACGTGTAAAACATATTTTACATGATATCATTTCAAAGTATAAAAGCATTCATGTGGTCTAGAATATGTAATCTATTTTTGGATGATTGAAATTAATATTAAAAAAAAGTGTGATCACGAGAAATATGGAACGTGTAAAACATATTTTACATGATATCATTTATATATTAGAAAATATAATTTATATTTACATAACGCATCGATAATTTAAAAGAAAATTATATAAATCGCGTATCTTACTCTCTAATTTAATTTTGAAAATATTATTTGGGGCATCCTTAGCACAAATATGTCACACGGAAATCGATTTTTGTTCTTTATTTATTGTTCTTAAAAAAACATAAAGATTTAGATATTGTGCAGAATAATTAATTATTACATAATTATAAAAATTATTAGATTCATTATTTAGATATTAGTGATAATTATTGCAGAAAGTTTTAATTATATTTTCAAGCATTAATTAATCGGTTGTGTCTTGTTAGGATGCCTCGGTGACTTGTAATCATTTGTTACAGTAACGGGAGTCGTGCAACGGCAAAAAGAACTATTGCATCGCGTTACGGACACTGCCGCGGACTACAGTATGTGTTCGCACAAATCGTAATGTTTATTCAAAGGCTTATGCATTCTCTTTACGCTTAGTACGGCTTCAGCGCAGCTTTCAGAAAGAAAAGCAAAAAAAGACAGGGCTTTTCGAAATTTGCAAATGCTTATAGCAAATAATGTTGGGATAGTTGCGCTTTTATTATATTTCAAGACCTCATAGGATCCTACAAGCGTTGTTTATTTGTTTAATATGTTACTATTGACAATTATTAATTTATTACATTATTATTTATGTAAGTACATAATGGGCTTAATTAGAAAGAAATAATTCTTTTAATGTATATTGTCAAATACTTAAACTTTTCCAAAATTTGCAAATGTTTATGCGTACAGTTGTTGATAAGATGAACAATGTTGATCGATATGTTTTTTTATAAGACTCTACAAAAGTCCTACAATCCTCCATCCTTTCTTTTTTCAATATATTGCTACTGAAAATTATTAATTTATTATTTATGTAAATTGTATTACGTTTAATTAGGATCAAATACACTTTTATTGTATTAACAAATATTGAATTTAATTGAAATGCTTAGAATTAAAATTAGAGAATTTTTAATTTCTACACCATTAATAAGAAATATTATGAATAATAATTTATATCATTTTTTGTTAAAGTAATTGAAAATTACTTTCATATTATTTATTATTTTGTGAAATTTATATAATGAATGATGTGAGAATGTCGAGAGAGAGAGATCGTAATGTGAACGAGAACATGTTAAAAGGTTAGCGACTAATATCACTTCCGCAGAACGTCGAAGAAACGTTGAAGAACGTAATTCGCGTTAACGTAAACTCCCGAGCGCGCATGGAGTCGACAAGCTCAGAGATGCAAATATACAAACGTCTAGCAGAGTAATACTGTAATACAGTAATTCGATCCGTAATAACGTGATGTGACGCGACGCTTCCGATTGAGAAGGGATTCCATTTCTCTTTATTATGGAGCGATACGCTTGTAATTGCATTACAGAAGCTCGTGACCCAAATCGCTTCTTAATTCCTCTTTGAGTAAGTGGTATCGAAAGTCATGTTTCGTTTTTTTTTTATGACGTTCTCAGATAATTAAATTAAATGCTATGAGCTGTACTTATCAATTTTGAAGAGATAGTATTAATGAGAAAAACTAATTGTAGGAGAGAGATTATCTTGGCAATCTAAATGATACACGCTTTGATAATTCAATTTGCATAATTATAATTAGAATAACTAGCATTTATCATTTAAGTCTGAAAAATTGTGCAAGAAAATATATACATGACACTCGGAATAATTAACGGACATTCTTTCCTCGATGGAAAACAACTGCATGCATCTTAATCTGCGACGAGAGAATTGCCAACTACAAGATTAATTAAAAGAGTTACAACCTAATTCGAACAATTAATGGTACGATATATCACTCGTAATACATATTTTAAATCTTCTCAATAATATATCATCGAAATATAGAGTGTTAAAAGCAAACGACGAAATAATAAATGTTTCATTGAACTCGCAACATTAAATTTAAAGTCTCCCAACGTATTCTATTTAAATGCAAATGACAAATGTCAAAGACCGAGACGATTACATTGAGAAATCACCACAATGCTGATTAATTAACGATTCCATTATGTTGCGCTTGAAATTTCCATGCTTCTATCTTTGACCTTTTAATGCTAAGAAACCTGTGTGTTTTGATTGATTTCTCGGCAATTCTTTTTCGAAACTTTAATATATACATATTGTAGTATATTATTAAATTTTAATAACAATAAATTTGATTGTTTGTCTTAATAATAATTTTAAAATTTATATTTTGTGTATTTTTTTTAATTTATAATAAATTTAACATTGATTAATCTTAAAATGCAATTTTCTATTGCATTTATATATATTGCATTCAGAAATAAACAAGTCTTTTTTGCACCTCTACAATAAATAAATTCTCAATAAATATTGATTTGCAAAAAATATTTTATTAATTTTTTTCTTCTTATTCTTTAAAAATCAATTATTTAATTAATTTCTTATTTTAAAAAGTAATAATTCGTTTTTACACAAAATTAAGAAAATTAATTTAGTAATTTAGTTTATGCAATATATTCACGCATGATTTATATTGCTAAATCTAAATTCTATATAATGTGTAATTTGTATTGTATTATTTTCCACATAAGATTAAATAAAACTCGCTGTTTCACGGAACAGATGTGATTTTGCGTAATATAATAAATCGGAGATGACATAACAACACACAGGAAGCTCGGTTCTTGTAGCATTGAAAGAGTTAGATGTCTGAGCAATAGCAATAACAAGCATTAATATAAACAAGATAAACGGGATTGCAAATAAAGGGAGATACTTTCATCTTCTGATTATAGTTACCAGCGCAGTAGAAAAGCCGAGAAATTTATTACTCAACGCTACCAGGGTGACGACTGGTTATAGTAAGTATACCACGCACAGCCAATATTGTACACTTAACAAAAATGTACTAAATCTTAATATTATATTTTTTAACAATACTGTGTGTAAATATTTACTTAATAAAAAAAAATAATATAATAGTTGAATTAATGGTTCTTGTACCAAATAAATGTATGTTTATATTTAATAAACATCTATTTATATTCAAACGATATTCGATAAATTTAGTGTATTTTTCAGTGTATTTATAGCTATTTGCGTTTATACTTATTCTTGAATCGGACAGTTGACAATGCAGCCTCAAGGGGTCTCGAGTTCAAACTGAAAAGATTTCTAGAGAAATTCCGTACTAGGATGCGCAACGGCATCACAGAGCTGGGTATTCCTCCGCTGGAGCCATTCACTCTCGACGAGATCGACATCGACACGGATAACCCAGAAATCGGAAAGTGAGTCGTTGGATGAATACACGATCGTGTGTACTGCACTGTCAAATCTATAGCATCAAATTTAACCTAATGTGAGTTGCCACTGTTCCTGCTAAATACATATATCGTTATTTTGTACTAAAATGATAATTAAATATTTGACACTACATCGTGTCAATTTGGCATGATATAGTATCAAATTGACTGTATAATTTTTGTCAAATTTAATAATTGTTTTAGTATAAAATAACAATATAATTGAGTAGGAGCAGTGATTGAGCAGTAATTGAGACCTCACATTAGGTCGACATTATAGATTTAACAGTGCGGATTCCAGAGGTTTGGAATAAAGAAAACTTCGCCTTAGCATACAATTTTAGAGAGCATGCTACAGAAATCATGAATAACTTTGCTAATAATTAATTAATCGCTAATAATTTCGATAATATATTGTTACAACTTTATTAAATGATAACCGAAAAGTGCGAGTTGGCATCTTGCTCGATCTTGTTTAATTTTACAATAGCATCAAAAAATGCAATTATATCAGTTTCGATTATTGATTTCATTTATCTATATTCATGTATATTTTTATTTTATCGCCAATATATATATATATATATTGTCCGTAAAAATAGATCTTCTAAGAAATATTTTCTATCTATAAATATTCAAATTATTCTATGCTTCCAATTAAACGTGAAAGACACTGACTGTTGCGATCGCACGTGTTATACTTCCGTAAACAAGATGTATAAAATGTCATTGTAAATCTGCTTTACAGGATATCCTTAGTCATTGAGAACCTGGAAATGAGAAACCTATCGACTTTCTTAATTGACCGAGCTAAGTTATCGCTAATCGGCCCTACTATCACCATCAATATCTCCATACCCGAGATTTATGCTTCGGGCCATTACAACATTTCCGGCATCCTGGGCAATACGTACCCGCTACGCGGTGCGGGTTCTTTTCAGACAACTGTACGCGACTTCCGCGTTTACGTGAACACTGTGCTGGGCTACGCCAGAGGAATGTACATGAAGAGATTCGACCTCGACTTCTCGTTGCGTGCCATCAAAATGCACTTAGAGAACTTTATGGGCGGTGAAGAAATCGGACAAATTATGAGCAAGGTGAGACTAACGAGCATGTTTTGTTCTTTAAACGAAGTTTCATCTATTTAAGCAGTGAATAATTTGTTAAGGAATTCTATTTAACTTTTAATGAAAAAAGAATGAAAGTATACATACCTATGAAATTTTAATATTAGGATATCGTTGTTTTTGCTTTATTTATTATTTAACTATCTATTATTTAAAATTTATGATGAAAATAAAATGTTAAACATATCAGATTACTCGCGAATAAGTTTTTATTTATTTAAAAATCTGTTTTTAAATTTTAGCTACCTAATAATGAATAATATTTTAGTCTTGAAAAAATCGATAAGACTTTGGATAAAATTTACGTAAACTTTGCACAAAGAAACATAATAAAATTTATATAATTACAAAATAAAAAGATAACGTAATAATGATTTACTAATATACATATAATCATTTGCTAATACATTCTAATTATCGAAATATTTTATTAAAATATTTTTTTTATATAAAAATGCTAATTTTATTGCAAATTGACAGTTGTGTAATATAAAGGACTAATAAGAGTCAAATAAATAATTTGTCAAACTTCAAATAAAGAGATGAGCTACATTCTAATTATAAATTCTACTTTAATATGTCGACAAATTTACATTATATAACGCGCGCATTACATATTTCAGCTGTATGCTTCAGCCCTCTTCGGACGCTCAAAAAACAAAAATCTATTTTATTATATTATAAACCGCACTATCGATATAAAATTAAAATGGTTGCGATGGACATTTTGTACCAGATAAAATCGTGTAGATGAACAAACGATTGAACGACCGATTGATACTGTGTTTTACCATGTTCAAATTGTCCATAACAAATAGATCGTCAAAGGTCATCATCTCGCAAATGCTATCGAAGTCAAGAAAGATAGTCACATAATTATACAATGTCAAAAATTAAAAGAAAATCGATTTATTATCATAGAGCGATAGAGAGAAAAAGTGACTATTTAAAACATATTTTAATAATTAGAACTTCTCAAAAACATCTTCAAAAAAATTACATGAAACCAGACGTAGGTACGATTATTGCTTTTAAAATGAAAGGAAATAAAATTTATTTTACGATATCCCCTTTGTAATATCTGTCCGTCATAAAAATGAGTGCAATTGTACATGATAATCTACAGAGATTTATGGGATTTTTACAAATCATAGCGTTTCACAGAATAGTTCATTTTACGATCAGTTACGATTCTGCGGTTGTAATATAAAATAATACATTATAAATAATACATTATATAATAATGCATTATAAAGAACTTTTTATAACCATTTCAATATCTAATTTTATTCGCGATGCGCGCAAACTTCAATGGGACGAGGTCGCGTTTATCCGGCCATTGAAACCGAAATTCCATGTTGCTTGTCGAATATTAATGGCTTACTCGATTCGTTCGTGTTTCACCTCGACAGCAACGCAAATCTTGACTGCGCAACTGTCGATTTGAACACGTGTCACTAATTGATTACCTCTAAATGACTGCATTTAATCAGAGATTATTCAGGATTATCACAAATTCCTCGCCCTAAAATTCCATAACTTTTCCTAATTTTCACGCAAATTTTCATGACTTTCCTTTATGCTTCCAATAATATTAAAAAAATGTTTGTATTTTCGTTCTCTATTGTTCTCATTTGGAAATCGCTAATTTTGTTGAGAGAGCCATTTAACATAGCAATATAGATTGCTATTAATGTTCCTGATACTACATTTGCATTTACATAATTATTAAGTTGGCAGTATTCCAAAACTGAGTAGATGTGCGCATATTAAATTTCTTTAAAGTCAAGAATTTTGATTTTTCAGAAAATTTTGTAAAATTTCTTGATATTTTTCTCTGATTTCCTATTTTGTGGCAATCTTTTTATTATTGATATGCATTTGAAAATATAAAACATTTTATATTCACTCTGATATAGTCTAATAGTAAAAAATTACAACAATTTTTTTACTGTATAACATAACTATATATGCCATACATTTTGTGTGTATATTCTCAATATACTCAAATTTCAAATTAAATAACACTCGAGATCGATGCTCTGACGCAAAATTCAAGCGAAATAAAATCACTACAGAGTAAATTTTATCTGGCGCGTCGCTGAGTTAAATTCAATGTAGTTCAATAATAAAATCGACGTATCGGTTTTCAGGTATTTGAAGATTTAACACCGGAAGCACTGGATGTTATTAAACCGGACATATTGCCTCCGATTCAGGATTATGTAGCGAGCCATGTGAACGAGACGATTCATCATTTGACTATGAGAGATCTGTTTCACGTCCTCCTAGGGGAATACGAGTTTGGAGATATTACGCACCTATTGATACCCTGAGGAGATATTCGTGAAAACATAATCGAAATGCATCGCCGAATTATCGGACCGCGCAACTACGAGCGCAATAACACGAGCTCAGTGTGTGTCTGAAAGTGCCTTCATTTAAGGCGTAAGGGACCGCGATTGCAACCGAAGTATAATGTACTCCGTTGCGATGCGATGGAACGAACAATACCCGCGACGGCAATAAAACACAACAAGTTAAGTTGATTTCAAAGTCAGCTTTGTCTTACGTAATATATGTTGACCACTCGAAGGTCTTTGACTACCTTGCCTGATGTTCACCTTTGATTACCTATTGTCTTGCCGAAGAAGGATTGTTTTATACGCGACGGGTGCGAATTATTGACTTCCTTTCGTTCATTTCTTTCTTTTACATTACGTTAAATTATTTCCTAAAATTTTTTTTCGAAATAATCAATTTGCTCAAGTATATAAAAAATTTAATTATTATGGATACGCACTGATCGTTAAAGAAATTAAGAACTATAGTTCACGCCATAGATCGTATGCATACGATTTACATGATTCAACCATACGATAACGCATCTCGTTAGCATCTGCTTGGAAACTTGACGTAATTTTGAACGAAGACACGTGAGAACCTTCTCATCGCCCGCCCGCCGCGAGCAACTGCGGCGAGTGCATCTGCGAAAGAGGCAGAATGTTTAATTCATCAAATCGTTCAGCACTTCGAACCTGGCGCATCTTTAATCCCCTGATAAAGACGAGCGAAAGTTTTTACAACCTTGAATGGTGATGTCAAATCTTCAGCATTGCAAAATCGACACCAGCCATTCATCCACCTAGATGTCAGTGAATAATGACAAACGAGGCGAGACTGTGAGAGGTAACTTTACAGTGATGAAAACTATCAGCAAAATGGCTCGCCATTTTTTTTTTAAACTGTTGTACAGAGTAAGACATTTAAATCTTTTAGTGTGTGCCATACATCGCGCATTAATTTTCTTTAATCGCCGTATACTACACAAAATTTCGTAAACACTTTGAAAGTTAGACAAGTCAAAATTAATAAAGAAACTGATTGAGATTTTACGCTTAATTATACTTTCATTTCTTTTTATATAGGTAAATAGTAATAATTTGATTTGGAATTTCGTAATAAAAAAGTAATTAATTGTTAATGAATATGTATATAAATATTTATAATGATTTGTGGATACTTTTAAGACTATAAAAAGTAGTCTTTTAAAGAGTTCTCAAATACTTTCATAAAAAAAATTCTAAATATAGAATTATTATATTCAAAATTTATCATTATTATATAAAAGCGTTTAATTGAACAAAATTTTATGGAAGCGATATAACAATTTCTATTTAATATTATTCTCTGCTTTCAATTTATTATAACCAAAGAAGATAATCTTCCATAATCTAGCGATAAAAAAATTTGCAAATTTGCATGTATATTGTTTTAATTCAAAAAATTAAAACAAACGTTACATCTGAAATGATTGCAAAAACATCAAAATCTTCAGAATAATTAAATCTTTTCTTTTTTCTTAAAATTATTCCGATTATCAAAAATGTGAATCATTTACAATAATTAACAAGTGCGAGCTATTTTCACTTTAACTTTCGAATTTCTGTTTATAAAGTACATTGTACAAACAGTTTACAAAGTAATACGTACTGGCATGTATATAGTTTACCGGAACATCGTATACTATTAAGTTAATTGTTGTATCATACATAATTATGCTAAACGCTAAATGCGCCATAAACGTCGGTTAGGATTATAATCAGAGAGGAAAGTGCATAATAGTAGAATTAATGTTAATGTTTTGTTAAAATAATTTGTAATAATAATTTATTATAAGATAATTTAGTGATAATGTGTATACCGTAAATGGAACCACATCGTTTAATAATTATTGCAATTTGTAACGGTCATAAAATTTATTAAATATTTATGATGTTATATGATTTTGTGTGTATATATATATATATATATCGGTAACGTTATTACAATTAATCGTGTCTACGTGAACAAGAATAAAAGAAAAAACTTATTGTTCTTAATATTTGCTTAAATTTCTTTTATTCATTGATATAATACATAATAATTTATTTTATCGATAAATGTACGCATTTATTTTTAAGATTCTATAATATCTGTAAATATGTAACGTAAAAAAACTACATGCCAAATGTGCGCAGTTATCGATATATAAAAGTAAGATGTAAATATCAATTTAAATTATATTGCTCCAACTTTTTTCAATGACAAAATAAATCAATTTTATCTTATCCTTCACTAATCTTCTTAAAAATTTTGTGATAAATTTTCATTTGATAAAATTTTTTGCATATCTTTAGATAATATCTTTTATACTATATTCTAACGTTCTTAAGAACGACCTGGTGTTCAATGTACGCTTGTCTATAATAATCAATCATCCTCCATCACACTTGTGTCTATCAGATGCTTTTAAAAAGATTAAAGGAGATTCCTAATTTCAAGAGTCGCTAATTTTATTATCTGTACACTTTCATTTACAATCTTACGATCATTTACGATCATTTATTATCACAGTTATATTCAAAATGTGTATTGAATATATTATAATTACATAAATATCTTTTTAAATCAACGACAAATGAAAGGTTAAAGTTACATTACACTGACGTATTGATATCGCAACTGCGTAATCATTTTTTACGAAACGATTAATTAAACGAGATTCATCCCGGATTAAAGACACGTGACAACTATTTGTTTCAGCTTCGCAATAAACTGACACACAAAATAGATAAAAATGTATGGTTAAAATCGAATAAAAAAATAATTAAAAGAAATAAATTTTAAAACGAAATTTATAGATTTTTTATCTCCCTTTTTGTATAAAAAATTATTTAATCATTTAATTTTCAATCGAGTGTAAAATAGGGAAAAACGCTTTAACATAGTTTTCCAATTCTAATTATTATTTTGTTTCGATTTTCAATATATTACTGTAATAAATTATTCAAACCATCGTAAAACTGTATACAACTGAATATACGCATCTTAACTCCTTTAGATGTTTCAATGCATACATGCAAGTTTGTCACAAAGCGTATACATAGGTATGTAGTTATATATGTTACGCAGTACAATGTAATATTTATTAAGCTATAAAATAAATTTATTTGTGCTGATTGTTTATGAGAAAATTTTATATCAACGTACTTCATACAAACGTCGGTCTAACCTGCCATCTGTACCGATATAATTTCAATCCCCTAGAAAGGCTAATAACTATCGTGATACAAATACATGATTGGTAAGTAAGGATAAAGACTCCGTCTCTACGTTGCTTCTATCGAGATGCTCATCGGTTATCGATAACGGCTTATCTCGGGTTGCTGACTACTGTTTGTTTAACCAAAGCGAAGATAAACAATTGTCTTTAAACATCCGTGAATCAGCGGATTTGTAGAGCATTGTTTACAGATTCTATAGAATTATAGGTGTAAGATGTTCTTAATTTTTTTATATTGGTTGAGTTACATAAGGTTTAAAAAAACAATTCAATAGATTTTGTAATTTGTCAATTATTTAATGTTTTGAAGATTCATGTATTTGTTTGGTAACGAATTTCAAAATTTTTTAATTTAGAAATATATTGTATATATATAGATTTGACACCTCCAGAATTTCAGTTTAATATTAACAATTTTAATAATTACGGAGACATATACGTAATAACTTAAGTTTTTAAATACAAAAATATACTAATTATTTGTAACTTAATCATTCGCTATATCTACATTAATTCAATGCTTTCTTCAATGCGATAATCAATAGAAAAATATATATCCTATAGATCAAAGATACAGATCTTTGATCTATAGGAATATGACAAATACTAAAAATAGCTTGATAAAATGAATATGTTTCTACGGGATTAAATCAGTGTGTTATCATACAGCTAATAGCATAAGTCTTCATTCGCTTGATGCTATCATCAATCTGTGATCACGCACGTGCGTGAACTCTTCCATCCAATCTCGCAAAGTGCCCTGACAAGATACTTTTTTGCATCAATTCTGATCCATTTGATATACAAATGCAAAAATTAGTGATCTTTAATTATATGTTTTAAGATAAACTTCAGCCATAAAAATACATTTTCGAACTACAGACATCCAGAAAAACTGCATGTTCAATATAATACATAAATATATTATAAGATATATAATTTTAATTAACTTAAGTCCCAATAAAAAAATAAAAAATCTTTAAAAGAAATTTTAAAAAATTACATTCATTTTATTGCACGTTCGTTTAATCTGCAGAAGTCCACATGATACTCGTACGAGCTTTTATTAATAAGCATATTTATGCTCTTTCAAAAGTTAATAGTCCACACATGTGAGAGAGCTTTTTCCATTTAAAATTCTTCGCGTTACTGATATACGACAGAGGATATATTACATTCAATTCTAGAATACGGAGACTTTTTTATACGATCTATTGAAATGTTTTCTTTTCACAGAATTTTATTGGGGATGATAAAGTTCAAAAATCTCAAAAGATCGTGCGACATTTGAAACATGCAATGATAACGAGAGAAGTATGATACAAACAGGAAGCGTGGGAAGTTATATTAAATATTTGAAAAAATATTACAATCAATCATTTGATTGCAGAATGCGTAGGTAGACAAAACCAATTACTAAAACCATGGGAAATGTTCAGGTAGCGAATGTTCAACAGTATGTAAATCGAGACAACGTTGTGATCAAAGTTTCAACAATAGATCACGTGCATAACATACGTATTGGCAAGGATTGCATTGCAAGCTCAGAATATAAACGACATTTGTCGTTGGTTTCCACGTAAGCTTGTTAATTATTCTTGTTTACAATATCGACCATTTAATGAAAGTGAAAAGCCGTTGTCGGTATTGTTTCTTTGGCGTTTGTTCTCGTTCCGCTGTTAGGTATATGTTGGGTATAAAATGAACGTTTCCCTTTATACGAGCCTTACACGAGGCGCAATATTTACGAAGACGTAGAATCGCTATTTCGTCAGTAATTGATTTTTACGACTCCGTAGTCGTTCACCTTGGGACAAAAAAGCGTTTGGATAGCCATCTCCTGTTTTTTTTACAGTAAAATACAAAGCTGAAGACAAAACACGTGTTTTGGAAATTCTGTCTGACATTATCCCTTTAACAAAC